GTTGCGCAACAGAGTGTCTTATACCAAAAAACGTTTTCCAGATACCAAAAACATTTTCCAATTCTTGAAACATTCCAGTTAACAAGAAATATTACATTTCATATGTCTGACTCCGAAACACACCTGAAAATTGCAATGCAAATGTTGAGTCGTCGGAAGGTACCTGATATGGATTTGGTGTATTGATATCTTTATATATTGGTACATTTATGGCAACTTTTTCACCACGACGCTGTCTGATATTTCTTACCAAATTTCGAAATCTGAAAGAAAATACAGTGTTTCAATATGAAATAATTGGCTCAGTGCCTTAGATGACTGAGAAACTGAAAATGTTTTCGCACAACTTGAATGCTCGATATCACATTTCCAAAAACATCGGATATCAAAACAACATTCATACCTAGGATGTCCTGCGTAAATTGCTTCGTCAGGGAAAAATAGCGAGCAGCCTGAGCTATTATCATCATCCGGACGTGGTTCATACGAAGGCGAGGTGAAATCTGGCGTACCTAGAGCTGGGAATGATATTGACATAATCGACTCGTCACTTTTCAACAACCGTGTAACTTCAGCTCGACGAGATATCATATTACTTTCTACCACATTGAAGCATGCCAATAAGCCTAAATTCGGGAATAACACATAGATCTTGGATTGTGAAAAGTTTCCAAGTTATCCTGATCGTAATTTGTTTTGTGTTAAAAAATAAATGAAGAATTCATTGTCACAAAAACATCAAATGTGTGAAACTGTGAAATGTCAAACTTCTTGGGTGACCGCATAGAAAATTAAATAAATAACCTCCATATGGTGCTCCCGGTGTTCCTTCAATCATATATGCAGCAAATTCTGGTCGCCACAAGCAACAGTTTTCATTACCCAATAACGCATTCAGTTCTTCACCAGCTTGTAATTGATTAAGAAGTTCTTCTGCTCGTAAACTTACTCGAACCTCAAAGACTATAGTAGAAAAAGCTCATTTCATTTATTTCAATTCCTTTTTGGCACGAATCCTTTTGTTAACCTCTGAGTGTAACTGATCTGAAATGTAACTGATTTCCTCCACTGTATTGCTTTACTTGCTTTTCAATTTAATCCACTAACCTTCTTTGAATCATCATCAAATTTAACAATTGTGTATTCAATTTCATCTCCCCATTTCAGCTGATCACCTTCACGTCCTTTTAATCGATGATAGAGAGCAATGAACTGTGTGATACCATGCTCCTCAAATGGAAATGTTGCATAATTACCATCCTTGGTTCACTTTTGACATAAAAACTAGATTTTCCTCCCAAAAAAAAAATCTTTTCGAGCGTGAAAAGTAACATCGAATAAAAAATCTGCAATAAAGCATTCTAAAAAATAATCTATTTGTAACAAAAAGAAATTCACCGGTAAATAAATAAATAAATAAACCTCGATATTCTAAATATAAAAACAATTATTATGCTGTACTGTATACCAAATCGGTGTCACAAAGTATTCCATTATTATATATAATGATTAGGTAGGTAATTCAGTCACATCAGGTAAATATACATTTAATTGTTTCGATAAAAATAGAAAATTCGACGCTTACTTTAATATAATCAACGTATGGTACTGTTTCATTCCATGATAATGGTGTCCCAACCGTTAGTAAACCCATATCGATTCCAAACCCTACAAGAATGTACCGGAAGGCTATTAAATAATTAAATATAGGTTTGTGATAGAAATATGATTAAAATGTGGTAATATAAATATCATGAGTGATATCATGAGTGGTAATATAAAGGTTCAAAATTGGGAATCAAAATTTGAAAATCATGAGAGGAAGTAAAAAACAACGAAAATTTCTTATTTTTACACCATGGTTCCTCAAAGTTTAAATCTAATTTTTAACCATAACACAAACAAGAAGTACAATTGGTAAAACAAAAAAGAAAGAATTTCTTCTTTCAATTGCTTTAGCATTACAAAATATTGTTCTAATCTCTTTTCACTTTTCTTTAAAATTACAACATTGCTTTATCCATGAAGCAGTGCTGATGCTAATTATAGGTAGAACAAACATTACTAGTAAGAATAATAAATTACATTACATCAATATGAAACTAAATTAATACAAAACTAATAAATTACATTAATATAGAACTGCAGATAACAGTTATTGAAAGAATACTTTTTAATTTGAAATAATTGAAAAAAAATAAACAAAACGTAAAAAAAAATTAATTGAAAGATCAATTATAAAGCAAAATAATAATAATTAAGTTGACAGGAACGAAAGATATCATGAGCAAAATTATTAGCAATCTATCAGAAATATCGATCTAACAAATCGATGATATGTGATAATCAATATATTTGTCCATCCAAATAGAACCAGTTACAGTGATATGATCACAATTACTTGGTATATTTTACAGCAATTTCATTCAAAAATAGCTGCTTCAAAACCATAATGTCATAGTGATAAAGTAATGCTATCAAAAAACGAAACTATGCTTAACAGGGAGAAAAATAACATATAACGATGTCAAATTTCTAACCTAGTAAACGATGCATAACTAATTTCAACATCAATGACGACAGTTATGAATTAACAATAACATAAGCAACGTAACAATAAGCTAATGATATTTCTCACAACAGCTAACATCGTTCCTTACTAATAAAGGAAGAAAAGAGGCACTTACTTCTCTTTACTTTCTCTATTTTTTGAAACAAAACAAATTTTATCAATTACAACAAAAATTCAGCAAATAGAAACGATTGGGAAGCATAGAAATGATTAGATAAAACTTTTCTAACAATTTTTGTTCACAAAGTCTTTTTCCTTTTTTTCATTTTTTATGGAATTTTAAACAAAAATCATTTTTTGATAGGAAAATGAATACAACTCTTACCACCATATAGAATGTTACACAATAATCGGATGAACGAAAATGATGACAGCGTTCTTAAAGTGCCACCCACTTTAACATTCATAAAATAAAAATTAATCATGTTGAAAAAATAAACAATGTGAAAAAGTAAAAATTACACTGAGAATAGAATGAATCAAGGTGAGTGGTTTGACATGACCAGAATGTAATTTGAACTGTTCATCAGCCACCTAAAAATAAACTCATTTTATATATCATAAAGGTAAGAAATAACATGCAGCCTTAGATAATGCCAAGTTTTCATGTCAAAATCATTATTTAATTCAAAGTATAAAAACTAGTTTTTCTTGCATTAAAACATGATTTATTATGCGAAATAATTTATCAATCTTATGAGCAATTTACAATTTATAGAAGACCGGTTTAAAGAAGCAAATGAGTTATAGCTTTGTATTAAACATATTTGTAAGCATAGAAATTACACTCCAAACTAATGAATTGAATGTTCGAATAATTTTGTAACAAAATAATTAATAGAATAACGATGATTGTTCGACATACAATTTATTACTCAATGCATCATGATATATATATATATATATCGTAAATTACACAAGTGTAAATTACACAAGCTAAAGGATACTTTCACAATAGTAATAACAGATTAAATCGTTTTTTGCTCAATTTATCAGAAGAATAGTTTGTCGCCGAATATTTTAGTGTCACATAGTTAAATACAAAAACTATAATAAGTAGCTTAAACGAAGCAAAAAAGAAAAGTTTACTAAAAGTTTATCAATACAAAATTCAAAATGACAGATTTAGGAAATAAAAAAAAAGGAGAAATTGAGTAAATGAATATAAATTTGATTAAATATGAGTATCGCACAAATTGATGAACCGAAAATATCTATACATGCAAAATCTAACCACAATTGTTTCAGTTTAGTTTCCACGGACCGTATTAAAATGGAAAGTCTACTGGTCGTAAATAACGGTTTGTATTTACAAAATATCGTGGTCGTCAGTTTAACTATCCGGTACTGGGGATATTTGTCCAGTTTTTCTGATGAGGAACTGGAAAAAGTTCGAGTTACTGCGTTTGGATGATTTCCTGCAATCGATTATTGAAGTATTAATACCACAGAAAAAGTTGCATTAGAAGATGAAGAAAGGCAGTAGTGATATCGGGATTAATACACTTAGTTGTAGTAAAATTGAATTTAAATAAAATGCTTGTTAAATAGTGGAATAGAATCGACAATATCGAGTGCTAATATTAATTCGTCTTGTTGAGTAGCAAGGCGATCATTAGTAATTCATTATGTGGATATTTAACATATCATATGTTCGTATTACATTCTGAAAATAGTTTGATTGATATTGATATTTTACTGGTAATGTATATATATATCAGTAATCTTAACAAATGTTGTTATTGACGTATTAAACTGAAAATGCTTTATTACATATTATCATTATATCTGATCATAGCTTAGCTTAATATAACTCTAGTAGGTAATAAATTTAATCTTAAATATCTTCTGAGTAATGCTATCAATCTTTAAAATTTACTATTTCATTCACCAATTAGCTAGATTACCGTAACTAATATCCAAATTTCCTTTGAAAACATTTATTTTATGAATTGAAACCACGAATTTAACTTTAATAATTTAGTTGATTTATACTACCGGATTTATGCACATGATGTTATTAGTTTTCCTGAAATGGACCATAGTTGACTTATACTACCGGATGTATGCACATGATGTTATTAGTTTTCCTGAAATGAACCATAGTTGATTTATACTACCGGATTTATGCACATGATGTTATTAGTTTTCCTGAAATGGACCATAGTTGATTTATACTACCGGATGTATGCACATGATGTTATTAGTTTTCCTGAAATGGACCATACGTTAACCTATAAAATAACCTGCTACATTTGATTGGTTTTTATTCGCGCATTACTTCGCCAACACCACATATACATATAGTCTTCAAGTGAGAAAAAGAAAAACTTTATCTCCTCGCCAGCGTGAAATTACACAATCTCGCGAAGTGAAACTAAATTCATATTTGAGGTTTAATTTCGGATTATTTCACTCGTTTTATAAAATGATTAGCAACTTCTATGATGTAAATATGGAATTATCCCCATCGTCGTTGTTTCGACTATCGCTGCAAGCAGTTGCGAAAACGATGTTTGAATATCGTTGGTTTCCTTCTATTCTGAATCCCCTACCGTCAGAAATTTCCGATTCTTTGATGACTACGCTTCGTCTCAACAACTGGCTTAACAACGAAACAATAGCACTCTTTGACAAACGCTTCCGCCTAACCGAGGTTAGATTGTTTTTAAAGCAATGACGATGAGTAGCGATTAACACGTTCAGCGCCAAAGATCAGAATTATCTATTTTGAAATGTCGACATGAAGACAGTGACAAAAGAAGCTGTAAACAAACAAAACAAACAAAAAAGACAACAAACAAAAAAGATAACAAAATTAATTTAAAAGTTTTTAAATGTCAGATTTTCTATGGATTCAGGACTATGTTGAAAGTCCATGCGCAAATTTTGCATTACTGTTAATTAATTTTTCAATGCAGGTTTAAAGCATTTTAATTTTCCAGCAAATGAGTACACTAATGATTCCATTTCAGTATTCATTCAGTCAGTAAAATATTTTGCAAAAGATTCTTTGAAGTTAAATTGCAGGTACATTTATCATATTCATTGTTAACGGTAATTCCAAGTGAAATACTGCGAGTGCATCAGATAAAACGTCTTATTATTCGTGACTCTTCATTTGGCGATTCTGTTCATGATTTACATGGTATTTTGCAGTTGCTTGGACCTCATGCAGCAACATCGCTGGAATACATAGACATGTCTGGCAAGTTAACGTAAAACTATGATTTCTAAATTTCATCGTTCCTTTAAAAGCATGCTTTAACTAAATCAATTTGATTTTCCCTCTTTACCTCCATTGGTTCTTCTTTATTGGTAATGCTGTTTTGCCATTTCCAAGAAGTCGGATGTGGGAAATGGAAACTAATCGGTCTAACTGCATACATAGGTTAGTATTAACTGAAGTTCACTTTATATTATCGAATTTTTTTGTTATTATTGCAGGTATAACACCGGTCACATGTATAAGTTGTTTAGCTGATTTGAAGAACTTGACAACATTGATTGTTTCCGAAACACCAGCATTTGGGAATGCAGAATTAAAAACGGTGTGTAAAGAAATGTGCTGTATGAAAGTTCTTGATTTATCGCAAACAGTTATCACAACAATTGCTCCATTAAGTAATTTGAAGTAAGCTATTTTTTTCTTTTTCTTTTTATTGACTTATCTATTATTTCATGTAACACGAGTTTTTAATTTATAGTCAAGAAAAAGAAAAGTTTCTGGTTAGAAAGTGAGCTTAACGAATAAAACTTACTTGGTTTTCAGAGACACTTTGGAAGTACTTGTTATGCATCGACTTAAGTTTCCTCGTGCGATAGTAATAAATGGTGCTGGAGATACATTGCAACTTCTCAATAAGTTAACATTTCTAGATATATCGGATAAGAAGAGTGATGTATTACCAAATAGGTATGTTTAGTAACTTAAAGAAATTATCATCCATCGTTTCCGTCGCTTCTCAGGATATCTTTCTATCTTTCTACTGAACTACATTTTTAATTTCATTTTCAATGTGGATAGAATAAGTTTTAATAAACTGATATTTCAATAGTAAATATAAAACTAGTGATCTGTGATGCATTGTGCTGTTGCAGGATGCGAGTAAAATCAATAAACGCTTAGAATATACATTTACTGAAAACCTTTGGCAGGCAGATTTAGTAATGCACTTAATGATAATATGATCACTATTTTAGCATTGGTGAACTGTTTCAAGTTGATATCGGGACACTGATAGTCCGTGATGTCGTAGTATTAGGCATGCCTTGGTGGCCGAGGCTCCACTTCTTGGACATTGCTGGAAATGCATTGGATTTTCATAATCTTGCACTTACTGTTGATTACATTACGAAATTTATATCTATGCATCCTCATCTGGTCTACATATCTGTTCTGGATACTTCTCTAAATCGACATCCTTATCAATATCCATATGAAAGGGATAAACCACTGCAAGTAAGACTTGGATATTAATCGGAATTGTAATCATTTTACAATTTATAAATTATCTGAACACTCTCTAAAATTTGTTGTTATGAGTCCCTTATATCTATCACTGTTACTACAGATAGCTAGTGGTGGCACACGTGCCCAATGTCTTCTTTCATTGCAACTATATTGGCGTCCAGATCGAGAAGCTTTTGCATTACTTACATTACAAGCTGTATACTATCTTCTACAAACTTCCTATGATGAATTTCAGTCCGCTGATTTGCATCTGACTGTGCGGGTAAGCTTTTGACCTTCCTAGTTTCCTCTTTGTAATTAAAATTTCACTATATTGTAGCTGTATCCGTAGCTATTCAATTTCTTAAGTTTAAAAGAAAATCAATGAAAAATAAAAATTTGCGACAGACAATCGACGTTTTACTTGAACTTTTGGAAGCGTAGCTTTTTCACAAATTTACAGGGTGTTGTATTGTCGATGCTTAATCACAAAAAAAACATTGCAATACAAATGGCGGGTAGCGCTTGCCTTTATCATCTCTGCAGGTAAGTTCTAGATTATAATTTTTGACAAAGCCGTAGTGAACTAATCAAATAAACTCGTAATAAAGAGTTAGGGTTGACGTTTTTCTAATTTTATTTATTTGTTTAATCTTTCAAATATCTTACATTTCTCAATTATTTTCATGATATTGACAAAAGAAGCAAATTTTTGCAGATCAAAGCGAATTAATCAACTTACCCCACAGGAAACGCGATACTGTGTTGACCGATGCTTGGATGCGGCAGAAAATCATCCTCGGATGGTTCAGGTAAGGTTTATTATTAGTATTGTATTATAATAGCGGTCTTATTAGCTGGATGGGAATTCAGGAAAATTCGAATGGTGATTTTTCATTACATCATCTTTTTGTCCATTGAATTTTCATCTCTAAATTAACTGTTCTGGAATGAAATTATTTTTTTCAGCTACAAAAGAATGTTTGGCTTACGATATGTAACGATAATTTATTACAGTCATTAAATTTTGATGTATTCCGGACATGTGAAGTAGCCTTAGAATCAATGCTTAACACGCAGGACCCTTCCGTTTCAAGGTAGAGTTCATATTTTCATGGGTATAAAAAGACAAAGATCTTTTCGTTGTTAAATTTGTCGCAGAGGGAGTGGAATCATTCTATCCTGAGATGTACGATATTTAGTGAAATTTCATATTTTTTATTGCAGAATTACGATTGCAGTAGTGTCAATTTTGGCACCAAAATTGCCAACAAAACAAAGCCACCGTTTAGCTACAAATAAACGATACGTTGCGCATTTGATTCAAATGATTAATGAAAATCTAGATAATCCCAACAATGGGCACGATAATTTCAATAATTTCACAATAAAATTTACTCTATCTGCACTCTGGAATTTGACAGGTATACCACTTTTATATACGTGCAAATCTGTGTTCTTACCAAAAGTCTGTGTTTTTACTCTATTCACAATTGTTGTTTACACGCATTAGATGTTTTAGGATAAAAATTTGGAATCTTACCGTCCAGTGACACGGTTTCAGATTTCTAGTCCAAAATATCTGAAATGCGGATGACGTGTTTAATAATTTCAAATAAAACTATAGCATGCGATAAGTGCTTGCCATTATGTATGAGAAATAGTTAATTCCATGGCTCTTTGTTTACCAAAAGTGAATAAATTTTAGTCCTTAAATGAAATAATTTAAATTCAATAGTAATTGCTATTAAGCATTGACTATAACAGTGAGAATCAGACTATTCTGAACTCTCTAAATTTAATTTTTCAATGTTTATTTCCAAAATTTTTTTCAGATTATCATTTTTCTATTTTTTTTCATTTTGCTGATCGATTTCAGACGAATCACCTGTTACATGTCGATCATTCGTGCAGCTTGGTGGCATTGCAGCAGCATTTGGTGTATTGGAACATTATCAAAGTAATGCAAATATACAAACCAAGGTTCTTGGCCTTTTGGTGAGTTTTTTTTTACAATTAACGACATATATACAAAAGTTATTTCTCTTTACATACTACATAGTTTGGTTCATCTCAGCAGTTTGTTGCAGCATAACTCATAGCTTCCTGGCAAGCCATACCTGGACACCATACTATATTGCAGGCTGATAAGGGGTGATGAACTAATATGAGATGCAGTCATGGAAACTTCAAATTTCTGCTCTGAAACTACCGATAGGGTTAGCTTTTGTATGAAAATCTAAACAGCTGATTTTAAGGTATAACATATTTTTTTCATGGTAGGTGGAGAATGAAGTTGAAAAAGTGATTAAATTTTTTTCAGAATAACATTGCGGAAGTGAGAGGCCTGAAAAAGCAAATAGTACATCATCATTATATTCGAACAGTTCTGTAAGTTTAACTTTATTTTCACATATTGATACGCTGTTTCCGGATTAATTGAGAAGCTAGTGAAAAATAGAGCTGTCAGATAGTTCTTATATAATTCTTAGCATAAATACTTCAAATAGTTCTTAGTTGAATATCCTCTGTTTTGCAGATGCTTTTAATTTACTGATCTCATGTATTGCATTTTTTTTTAAATTAGTGAAGCTATTTAGAGAGTTGATGGAAAGTGATTTGATGCCCGACAATTATGCTACAGCCGTTAGTAATACAAAGCATATCGATGTATCATATTTCGCCGCTGGAATATTGGCTAATCTGTTAGACTGTGGCCCATGGACATTTGAACCGACATCGGATCACTGCAATCAATCGTTGGTTGGTTTTCTTCAACTGAAAATCGAGCTATCAATTGTCATTTCATTCAATTGTCATTCATTCATTTCCTTTTTCTTTCCGGTTAATAACAACTAACATAAGCAATGAATGGGCTCAAATATTTAGAGGCAACAGAGTAAATTAGTGGATGCTTGGCACTTTATTCTGTATTTCATCTCTTCGACATATGATAATTGTAATTCCCTGATTTAATTTAATTGTAGATGATGGCAGTAAAAAGATGGCCGAAAGCACTGCTAACTATGATTGCCTATCGGTAGGTAATATTTCTTTTTCTTTTTTATAACGTTTGGCAATTATTTCGGACTAGAAAGAAAAATGCATTATAGTTTCTTTGGAATTTTTCTGAAAACAACGGGGAAATTTTGATTTGCTAACGGTTTTTGAGCAAGATTGAGGTGTACTTACTTATTCATTATGCTTTGTTTCGGGGATTGAAATTGTTTTTTGTTTTTTACATTCATTTACAATTACAAAGTAAGGTATTTTAGCGGAAAATATGCCAGTAAAAAATGGCCCTTATTGGATAAGTACGCGCATTGAAATTTTTTCATTTGAGTGTGTACAGTTTATTTTTAGGTCATTCGTGCCATTTTTTGTATTATTGAAACAAGATGATATAACCGGAGCTCAGATGTGGGCCGCATGGGCAATCCAAAATGTGTGCATCAGTGACAAACAAAACAACTATATAAAGTTACTTCTTTCACAAGGAGGACAAGAAGAATTTATACGTTTAGTCAATTCAAGGTTTGCTCATCCAGACGCTATCCGGCTTGCTCATTCCGTGCTCAATTTGATCAAACACTCTATTTGCGATCCATAAAAACTCAAAGATCAAGTAGTATTAGTTTAAAAAACATGGAACACAAAGTACTTTATATCGATTTCTTTCACTTAACTGATGTTGCTGTTTTTCTCTGCTATTTCTTCCTTTCTCGTTAAACAAAGGAAATCTCTCGCCTTTTGCTTTTCGAAATTTACTTTGTTTCTTACATTAGTTTTAGCATTTGATCATTTTTATGAAATGTCTACATTTTCTACTAATTTCTCAACCTTAATTTCAATAACTTGATATTTTTGGACAATATTGAATCTCCATGGTGTTTTGATGCGTTATTTTTCACGACGAGTAGTAGCGACGATTAGTATTTAATATGCTTAAGCCTCATTTTGATGTTTTCGTGTATTGGAAAGTTTTTATTTTTTTGCAGTGATCGATGGGCACTGAAAGTCGCTATGGGTTATGCAGTTGTTTTGAGCTTGTCCATATTCATTTAATTCATGCCTTAATTTTGTACATTTCTTCTTTTCTACATTGTACAAAGTAAAATTCAATTGTTTATATGCTGTTTTTACACTCTATTTAAAAGTCAAGTATTGATTTGATCAGTCCATCCTTATATGCTTATCATTCGTTTGAAGAGTTCATAACGACTCTTTTATAACTTATAGCAGCATAGTTTTTTCTTTGTTCCTATTTGACTATATTTCATCATGCTTGTCTAATATAATTACATATCCTGATGATAGCTTTGCTTGCATGTTGGATGACGTATCCTATTGTATTAAAGTTCATTCTATACTAACTAATCAAGTGCTATTTTACCACTTTAGTATAAATAGCTAAAGAATTATATTAATTTGTATGCACCATGTACATATATTTTCTTATCTTCGATTATCTTATATGTTAGATAATTTATTAAGAAAACGACAAAATGATACATTTAAATCAATAGATTAAATAATCAACCGAATGGTTTTGCTTTATTTTTTCCTCTTCAACTCTGTTGCAATTTTTCATTTCATTTTTTGTTTTTTATTAAATCCATTTGATAGCAATATAAATATCAATTGTGATTTTCAACTCATGATCTAATATCGTGAGAATGGCTGCAGGAAAGTACAATAAATAAATAAAAGTTCCTCATATAACGATCAAATATTATTGATCCACGATATCTAATATTACTAAATTTAACCAGTGAAATTAACCAATGTTATATTTAAATAATTACTAACTCCATTGAGTTTGCTAATATTTTACGCTGCTAACCACATAAATTTCAAGTTTCAACAAATCGATTAAAATGGAAACAATTTTTGATCATAGGGAAGTATAAATGAGGGGATAGGAAGATATCAGATATATTAGGTTATTTCAATATTTCTTTCCGTACTATTTGTGTATGTTTATATATATATGTGTGTATTTTATTGGTGCGCCGAAGTAATGATTTGATTTGAGTATAATAATAACAGATGGCAATACGATGACCTTCTCACACTTTTATGTTCCTAAACTCTTTTTCCCCGCTCTCTTTTACCCGGTATTAGGGTAAGGAAGAGAAGCTGATGAGAAAGACATGAAATTCATTTTGGGACAATACGACAGCAGATCACAAATTACGACCAATGACATCGTTGGATAATTTATTTGATCCTTTGACACGTTCCATTCCTCTATTTACAGTTTTAATGCTCCTCTTTTTACCTGTCTTTATTCCAACTACTGATAAATTGAAGTCTTTTTCTTTTTTTTTTTGCAATTTCTCAAAATCTCCAAAATTAATGGTTGGCATTAACGTAGCATTTTGTTTTTGAAATTTTTGAAACTAAAAAGTCTTCTCTAACATTACTCACTGATAATGATAATTGCAGAGTTAGCCAATACTGGATTAATTAGCCAATACTAAACTTCAACCTATTGCAAACTGATAAAATGTTGAATCTTTTGCTTTCTCATAATATCTTACAAGACTGAAATTCTAAAACGTTGAATCTTTTGCTTTCATACAGTATCTCATAAGATTATCCTAAAATCTAGCATGGGAATTATTTACATTCTTTCCAATAGTTATTTCTTAATTAATCCTAAAATCTAATACGGAAATTATAGATATTCTTTCTAATAGTAATTTCATAATTTAATTAAAAATTTAAAAAAAATTACATGCATGATTCAGCAACTGTTTCAAACATTCCATTTCTTCTTTTTTCCTCCTTGAAAATTTCGTTACCGTAATCATTTCGGCAAATGAATGAATTTTAAAAATGTCCTTCACGGGATAACTATAATAGATGAATAAATAGAGTGAAGAAGAAATGATAGAGAAGTGTGGTAAGTGGAAATTATATATTATATTATATGGATAATGGTGATTGGAAAAAGAAAAAAACAATTAAGAAAAGAAAATAATAGAAATTGGATGAAAGATGGAAAAAGAAATAGTTGGTTGAATGAATGAATGAATAAGAATTAATATTGGCATCAATTTGATTTAATTCTATTCACAATAATTCTTTTGATCTATCCGAAACAGCCTATTATAACTTTCTTTGATTTTTGTTACCAACCGCATATATCTATCGTCCGATATTGGATTGTTTCTTTCTCTCTCTCTCTCTCTCTCTTCCTTCTCTTTCTTTTTTTTATAAACAAAACATTCGAAATTTTTATTTTATAACTTTTTTACTCTAACTAATTAATAAATTATGGTTTAATTTAATTTTTTTTACTGTAATTAATTAATTATCGTTGCTATTTTTGGAGGAATTTAATTTATCTAATATTATTGTTTTTATGATAGTATTTTTGTTTTTTGAATAAATTATCAATTAATGTCTTTTTTTTTTGTTTTTCCAATTAAATTAAAGATTTAATGATTAAAACATGCAAAAAAACCGGAAAAATGAGCATTTCGGAAAATATAATATCAAAATTGTAGAGGAAAAGAAAAAGACGAAAAATAACAAATAAGCATTATTCCTTGAGAATTTGATGATTTCCGTTGCAAACATTCAATTCATTCTATTAAATGCAAAAAAATGATGAAATAATAATAATAATAAATATGTTACGATTATTATTACGAAATATTAATTAAATCATTTTAATAGTTAAATTTCAAAATTAAATTAACCATTCAACACGTATAAAAGCATATAATACAAAGATTATTAAATTATAATTTCCCACAAAAAAATATACAAAGTAAACAAAAAAGGAAATGAAAACAATTATCTTCAAATGTGATAACAAAATGCCGCTATCAATTATATGTTTTCAATGAAAATGAGAAATAAACGAATTTTAAATGTGAAGGAAAAGTTGTAAAATGAAAAAGATAATAATATAAATGTAGAATTTAAGTAAACAATATGAAATTGAAGTGTTCTTTTTGAATGATTAGCATAAAGTTTCAAATTTCAACAAAATTATGATTTTAAAATTTTGAAAAGAAAACCGATCATAGCCTGTTTTTGATCTACTATAGCTTATCTATATGATATCATTAATTAAATATGAATGAATAGTTTAATACTTTACATAATATCATCAAATAATAAATATAGTTAATATATTAATTTAATTTATTCCTATTGTTTCATTTGCAAATCTATCGAAAATTATAAAATATAACAATTGCAAATTAATCACTGTTAATTATAATATTTATCAAAAAAAAAGTTTTTTCATACAATATAAATTAATAGGAAAAAGAATAATAAAAAGAAAGAAAACTTAATGAAATTATGATATAATTGGAGTTCGTTGATTGTCTACTAACCTTTTCTCACTATTTTGTATAAGAGATTTTGTTGTAGTAACACCGGTAATTGTAGCAGTAGTAGTAGTTGTGGTAGCAGTTATTGTTGTTGTTGTTATATTGGTAGTAGTAGTTGTTGTTGTAGGAGTATTAGTGATATATGGTATTAAATCACGATCAAAATGTAAACGTGACGGATAAGTTGTAGAAGAAGATGATAATAAAGTTGATGGTGATACAGGTATGGCAGTAATATTTGCAAAAAACATTTGTGATATAAATTGTGGTGGCAATGCAAAACGTGAATGCATTTTACCTGCCCAATCTATAAATATAATTAATTTTAATTTAAAAATCTGGAGTAAGATATGATTATTTCATTTTAAAATACATATAGTATAAATGAAATAAATAATTTCGAACAATTTTTTCATAAATAAGAAGAAAATAATAATTCAAATTTCAAGTGATACAATTAGAAAATGATTATTTTAATTTGAAATATTTTCCAATATACTTTAAGCAAAATACCTGGGTTAAATTGTTTCCGAAATCTAACTATGTAATTTTAACGTTAAGTTTTTATTTGCTTAAAGAAACATGATATTTTTAAATAATTCTAAAAATGTATCGTAAGTTTAATTCTATTATCAAAACAATGATATAATAATGTACGATATGTTCATAACTTAAATTTAGAAAATTTCTTATTACTGTAAAATTTTAAAATCAAAAGCTAGATGTATTTACTTTTTCTAATTTTATTATTATTTTTTGAAAATTTATTCTTCAAAAATTTTTGCAAAAAATAGAAGTGAAAAATATTCTGAAAAAATCAAATAAATTATCTTACATTGATGAATTAACGCTTGTTGCATAATTGCTGGACTATACAAATTGGATAATAACATTGGTGTACCATCGTTACGAATATCCCTACGATTTATTCAAATTATATTAATTATTTCTTTCTTTTTGTTTTAAAATTTTTAATGAAATAATTTGTACGAATAATATTGAAAGTTTTACTTTTTCTTGAAAAAATTATCAATGCAAAATAATTATGAATGAATGGCATATTTATAAATATGGGATAATTTTTAGAAATTTCATATATAAATTATGATTTATGATAATTCCACAATTATGATTGTATTTTATTAATTTAATTATCATTTAATAAATATCACTTATTAATTAACTTATTGATTACTGCTTTATCACTTATTAATTATTACCTTTAAAATATTCAACACTCTTGCAATTGTCGTTATCATTGAGAATATTTTAATCATTTATGTTCAAATTTCTCTATTATTATTGCATATGATGTGATTCAATTTTTTAAACAAAAATAAACAAAAATTTTTGGAAATATTTTAAGTGAAGGAATAAATTGAAAGTGTTTGATCAAAGTGTTCATAACTCTAAAACATACATATCATATTCAGGTGAGCGTCCATTTGGATCACGGAAACCTTTAGCGAATGGATTCTTTTCAATTTTTAATTTTGTAATTAATTGATTTTGATATGCTGTAACAGCCATAAATTGTGTTTCTTTAAATTGAAACGTTTTGTAATGTTCGTTGTGCAAATCGATTGTTAAGGCCTAAAAATGAATGGAAAAGAAAGAAAGAAAAACTTTTTTAATGAAATTTTATTTTATTAAAAAAAGTTAAAATTTAATTATTAATTCAATTTTTTTTAATTTAAACTTTTTGTCATCTGTTTTTTTAAAACTAAAAATCTCAAAGGAATATCTTTTTTTTGGCATAACAAATGGTTTCAATACGAGTAATTGATAGGTTGTTAAAATTTTACCTTAATTAAATTTAGGGAAGTAAATTATTAATTTGTAATAAATGGCAAAAAAACTTAACTCTTCCTAAAATTAATTAGACTTATGACTACAAAAATACTTCATTGGGAATAATCGTTTATTAAATTTCATCGTAAAATAAAATTACCTGTTCAATAGGCTTTTCACGTGGTCGTCTCACAATATGTATACGTGGCTGATATTTGTGCATTGAATTTAAAATTAACTGAAAATTATTTGATATCAGGATAATATAAGCATGCTTTATGATAAAAGTTAAATTTGAAATAATTTTCTCTTTTTTTTTAAAATCAAATCAAATCAAATCAAATCAGGTAACTTACATGTCCAGTTTTGTCAACTTCATTATTAGTCAATTTGGCTTTTTCAAATGATATAACTTGATTGCAAAGCTGTAACAATAACATTATATTCCGATTTAACCTTTTTTATATTTTAAATTTTTAATTTTAACTGCAATTAAATTTATTACTTTTACATTCTATTTGCTAATATGTGATGGAGTAAAAATTTAGAAACCTGTTCACCGATGAATGGAGAATCAGGATGCATATACAGTCGATTACGAGGTGTAGGTTCAGCTTTACCAGCTGTTAACCAGGATGATTTGTTATAAATATACCGGTAACGTCGATTATCCACTGGAACTACATCAAGAAATACGTAATAAAACACATTTGGTTCACAACCGGTGATACTTAATTTCATCGTCGGGAACATACGTCTACAAATTAACACTGACTGTTGATATTTATTTATCACTAAAATAGTTTTTGCAAATTTATAAAATAATTTAAATGATAATTTTCAAGTAGAAATCATTCTTAAAAATTTAAATTTTAAATTTGCACGTTGTTTATTTCCTAAATTATTTTGTATTTAAGTATTAAATGTTTAGCCAGAAAATGATCAAACAAAAAAAGAATGTTTATTTCTTAATATAAAATAATCATTTCAATTCTTTTTACTTAATTCAATATTTGTCAATAAAATTAACTCTTAGCTATATATGTTATTGTATGATTAGCATATTATCATATCCCAATTGTAACTGTTCGCATTGTAATAATGAAAATTAAAGACTGAATTCGTTAACTAAAAACAATATAAATAATGCTATTATAGTAATTTAAATTAAAGACTGGGCTCATTAATTAAAACAATATGAATAATCATTTGATGTTTTTCAATTAATTCTGTCTTCATTTGTCAATTAATTTTCTCTTAGCTCTTATTTATGTTATCACTAAAATGATTTTAATAAATACGGTATTTCATCAAATTTTAATGTCAATTATTGCTAATATTAGTTTATTAGTGAAAACGAATGATGTCCATCTACCTTGTTGTTAGATGATGCATAAAAGTGTGTGTGATGAATTATGTCAAAATTTCATTATTTAATTGTTATCACTGATAAGTGATTAAGATTACAAATAATAAAGGGAGCTTAAAATGAAGAAAATTCGAGACAATCATATATCTATTTGATTTATTAAATGGAAAAATAGCCAGAAACAAAATTTTCATCCATTAATTTTATTCTTTAAATAATAATTAAAATTATGAAAAATTAAAGATAAAAAATCAAAGTCATAATTAATAGCACAGTTTAACTATCACTGTTTTTTCTTCAACAAATTTTTAAATATGAACAGTATCAAAACAAATATTATTCGATATTCTTCATAATGAAAGATCGTATAAGATCTATTACCGTAATACACCCGTATGGATTACTGTATGATATGAACGATAAAGCAATCGTTATGTTATATTATTGTCATCCATTTGTTATACTTTGTATATAACAATCAATAAATTTGACAATAATTAAGTTATTAAGAAAATGATTAAAATGAGCATAATTTTGTCAATGCAAAAAAGTTTGTATTTTTTATCATGCCACATTTCTTCACATTAAAATAGCCTGTCGATATAGTTACATCAAAGTACTTTCAATTCATTTAATAATTTACTAAAATACTAACTAACATTAATTAATTACTAATTCATTTAGTAATTTTGTTTTTAGCCCTTTTTTCAATAACTTCAAATAACATTGCAGGATATCGCCAAATTTGCTCTATTGAAATACATGAAATTGCTGATATACGATAAGCTTGAATTCTGATGATTATCATGAAGAGGAAAAGTTTCAAATTTGAGCATTATTGATACGAAATGATGAGTCATTGTTATTGCATGGCATGGCATGACATTAATAAATTATTAATTCATTTATCAATTTTGTTTTTAGCTCTTTTTTTCAATGACTTCAAGTAACGCTGCAGGATATCAGCAAATATGATCCATTGAATACATAAAATTGCTGATATATGATAAGCTTAAAATGAGATTGTATTCTGATAATTATCATGGAGAGGAAAAGTTTCAAATTTGAGTATTATTGATATGAAATGATGAGTCATTGTTGTTGCATGGTATGGCATGTTGAAACATTTTATGATAAATAGCATTTTGAATTTCTAAAGTAACAATGATATTTCAGAGAAAATTGATTATTTCACTTGAAAATATAAGAGAGTATAAATAAGAATAAAGAAGTAAAAAGAACAAAAAGAATAGAAATGAAATTATAAAAATTAATTGGCAATTAAGTTTTTGTTTTTGCAAAATGATTAAAGAAAGAACAGTTAAGGTTTTAAGCTGTTTAAAATGAATTAAATTAAATAGAAAGTAAACATTCATTTACTTTCAGATAAAATAAAATTGTATTGTGCTAAATTTTAAGCTAATTCGAAAAATGGAATGAACAAATTAAATTAATATTTATTATATCAGTATTGATTTACTAAATATTTTTATTCCATATAAGAAATACTGATTAAGAACGAGTAATGGAGTATTACTATATCTTCGTTTATTATTATTATAATTTATAATATATCAAATTTATATGTTTTCTTGTTATTTCCAATTTTCTTATATATATATATTATCATTACTGAATTATTTTATTTATATATATTTTATTATCGAATATTTTCAAAACTTTAGAATTTACGAGCAAACTTACGCATAATATAATTAGGAAAATTGTAACGAAAAAATAATGAATTCTCATAAAGTTCAAAATTAATTTTCACATAGCTATATGGTTAAGTTACAATAAATCGTGATTAATAAATTTGCAAGAGTTTAAATGAATTTGAAATTGCAAGGACTGTTAAGATGCGATACATCTAAATACGGATTGTAACAGTAACGATCAATTTGGTTCAACTATATATACACGTATATATGTGTATTCAGACATAAAGTTTATTGTAACTTTATTTACAATAATAATAAAACATTTATATATATGCTACATTTTGGTGAATCAACTGCTGAAATTTAAAAATATGCAGTTAAATATATGAATATAGTAATATTAGTAACAGTTGTAGTATTAATGATATTTAAGCTTTTAAATACCGTGTAGTGTTCGAATATAATTCAATAAGTGTTACATAATAGTCATAATAAAAATTATTTATATTTGCTTTACTATTAATAAATGAATTAATTCAAATATAAATCATATTATTCAAATATCAATCGTACTCAATACACTGGAAAAAGATTTTAGTATTTCGAAATGAAACAAAAAGAGAGAAAAGAATCGGGGGAAAAATCAACTGTGGCATGACAAGATTGTTGTATCAGATAATGGACATCTTGTTGACTACTTTCTTTGATAGTTGAAATGCTTCAACATCAATATTATCATCATCATGAAGGATGAAAATAATCATAATATGGATATTTTCGTCTTTATTTTCTTTTTAAACTTAACAATAAGTCCCTAATTTGAAAATGATAAGAATTTTGAGTTAAAAATTCCTATGATTTTAATGCAAAGTGATTAATGTGAAAGAAAGTTCAGTAACCATACATATATAAATTTAATGAAAAAAGAAAAGAAATCCAACTCCAATGATAATTTCATTTGAAATCTGATCGATTAAAATATAATATTATACATTTATGATCATTGCAATTAACAATACTGACTGATCCTTAATTATCCTATCTTATCATTTATCTTATCATTCTCAAAAATTAAGATTGACTGTTTATGCTTAAGCTTAAGCTTTAGATAGGAATGAATCAAAATATAATTGAATAAAATACAAATAATATAAAAACCAATTTTGCAAATTGCTCATTGTCATTTAAATATATGCTATGCTTTTAAATGAATTAGTTTAAGAATAAATGATATATTAGATGAATTAATTTGTTACCATCCTCTATTAATAGCTTATATGGAAGATTTTTCGTTGATTGCTGATTGCTACTATTCCATTCTTCTATGGTTTCATCTTCCCTTCCGTTATCATTATCGCTACTCTTTTACCAAATTTAGTTCGTATCTTTCTTCTTCATCAAAATGTAATATTACAAATTGTCACCTATTAAGCAATGCAAATACCAAATGCAAATGAAATTACTATAGATTATTAATTCTTTCAAATGAAGAGACTTTCACTTCATTGGGAGATATAAATAATCCCTCGAGAGATGTGACAAATGCTTCTACCAAATAATCCATAATATTCTAATATGTATTAGAAGATGAATTTAAAAATAAAAATCTTATACAAGTTTAATTATATTATCGAAATAATTATAATATATCGAAAATAAATTTAAACACTTGAAATAATTTAATTTCTTTTCTTTTTTTTTGATTCTCTCAGGATTATTCTAGTTTTAACGATACGATAGAAGTTAAAAAGAGGATGAAATGATCAAAGTAAAAAGAATGAATTTACTAAAATAATCGTTTAGAATGATAAAGGATAAATATGATCAGAAATGGTCAGGCATGTGATTATTCGATGATACATATGTTTCAAAAAGTAATATTTATCAATGAATTAAATAAATATTGAAAAAAAAAACCATTATTAAAAACAAAAGTATTAATTAAGAAAATATTTAAGGAAAATTAAAATTACGATTTAAATAAAATAACTCAGAAATTTTATTACTATTTAAAATTAATATATTCTTAAAAAATCTGTTTTTAAATATTTTTTAAATTTTACTCAAAATTAATTCGTGGTAATTTTAGTTTGATTCATTTTCTTTCATCTTATTTTGCAATTGTATTCGATAGGATATTTCATTTACATTAGCAATACAATTATCATACCTTAATGAAATGAAAAAAGCGAAACGAACTTACCGTCCGCTTTTGGTAATAATCATTTCGGTGCTAAGTTCATAAAATTTATTCCATAATTCGCGACCTTCCAATCGACAAGTAATATGCCGAAGAATATGAGAATTTCCGGGAAGCGGTGATGTCTTCGGTAACTGTTCCATGCTACTTTCTTCTGATTCTGCATTATCCTTACTATCATCGTAGTTCCGACTTTTTCCTGCAGCAATCGTTGATCCTCGTTCAGCTTTCTCATCCACACCACTTGCCAACAAATGATCAATCATAAATTTGAATCGTTTTGGTGCTGCCAAATCTAGTGGAATATCCGGAAAGTGTCCTGATGCCGGAATATTTGAATGTAGCGTATCTATGAGATGCTTTTCACCTGTCCTAGCCATAATTATGAAGAAGAATAATTCAGCTAATCGTATAACAGCTGCAATTTTAACTTCTTCACAATGTTCCTTTTCTTCAATAATGCGTTCTTTCTTCCTTAGGCTTATTCTTTTCCTTTTTTATTAACTTTGCAATAATATATCGGTGTTGAAAAAAGACAGGAAAACAAAATTTATGAAATCAGAAATACGAGCAAAAAATTTGTCCAAATAGCAAATAATATCTCGTAATATTTATTATGGCTAAAAAATCTTTGCAAAATCGTAATGAAATATATATTTGAAATTAAAATTGCAGAAATGTTTGATTTGACAGATCGTATGTTTCCAAATAGCCGACGTTTCTCGTGATAATCTTAATAATGCGAAAAGAAATGAAGAATTTATCCCATTGGAATATCCGTTCCGCAAGCATTATCATCATCATCATCATTATATCATCATCATCATCCAATATCGCTTGATATGATCATCTGAGCACACCGTATAATTCGTCAACTTATAACTAACATCATAATTTTCAAAGGAAAAGGAAGAAGAAAGGGGAGGTGTGAGAGTTAGAAGAAGAAGAGGAAGAAGAAGTAAATGGATGTATTTGAAATGAACTATTTCAAACCACAAACAAATCGTTCATTGGGTGAGCTGTCAAAAAGGGGCGGATATGATAGCAACCGTTGATCCAATGAGGCAACAAAAATGTGTTGACGCTTTTATAAAAAGGGATGAAATAGATTGAGGTTTGAGAGTATTAGAGAATATTGGTTGATGAATGATAAGGTGATAATAATAATAATAATGATTATTTGAGGAACAACAACAATAAATAAATAAACGACAACAGGAGCAATGGTAATAATAGAAAAAAAAACAAACAAACAGATGGCAGCAATAAATATTGGACATCGATATTGATATTATGAAATTTCTCAGGTTTTTCATTAAATTATATTTTTCTTTTTTATGATATAGATAATGGCAATTTTACAATTATTTATATAAATTCTTATTAATATTAACAAGGTATTATTATTTCGAATTAATAGTAATTATTTAATTTAAAATTTGATTTATTTATTGGTTATAATGTGTTCAACATTTATGAAGATTTATGGATCAGCGATCCAATCTCCAATCATATTTATAACAATAAAATTTAATGATTCATATATTAATTCTTATTAATAATATCTTATTTTAAGCAATAAATTATAAAATTAAAAATTATATTGTGAAAATATTTGAAGGTTTCTTATTTCATAATTTTCATTCATTTCCTTCTGATAAATAAAAATTAAATATATTAAATAAGTTGGTAAGTAATTATTGATAATTAATTTTTTAAGAAAATAGTAATTCTTGGAAGATGTTAATTATACATTGACGGTTATTTATTAATTAATTATAGTTGATAAAACTATTATCAGCAATGAAAAATTGTAATGACAAAATAATAAATAGATTCTAGCATGCTGATATTAGTTTGAATTTGTCATGACATACTGACTAATATATTGAATGCTTAAATTCCCTAAAGCATTACTCATAACAATCGAAATTTCATATAACATTACAAGTAATAACCTAAATTCCTTTTACAATATACCTATAATAATCCGAATTCTTTTTATAATATGCTTGTAATAATCTAAATTCATTCTACAGTATAATTGCAATAACCTGAATTGCTTTTTCATAAATTTGCAAAAGCCTGAATTCGCTTTATGAACTTTCTTATATATTTGCAAAGGCCTGAATTCGCTTTGCGGTACATTCGAAAGTGTGAACTGTTTTCTGAATATTTATTTTAATTAAATTTAAACTTCATATGTTTACATTTGTAAAAAAATTGACGCATTGTAATGAACAGATAATTAATAAAAATAAAATAATTTCAATTTCTTTTTACTTCCTTCTTTTTATTCTCACACTTTTAAAGATATTTAATTTTACTTTGTAACTAAAATTTCTATCTTTGATATATTATATTGGAATAAGTTTGCTAAAGAATGGATTATGCCTGGAATTTGTGATTGCAAAATTTTCTACAAGAGATGATTAATGTTTTGATGAATATTTTTGGTTTTGTGCATTCATCCGTTTTTAATGATAATGAGTGCTTTCTTTAAAAAAAGGACGAGAGAGGGGAAGAGAGAGAGAAAGCAAGAAGAAAACGAAGAAAATAAATTTAAGCGATCGGATTAAAATATTTCGCTTTTCGTAAGCGCCAATGAATCAATCGTCAATGATGTGGAAGAAAAGAAGAAAAACAAAAAAATTATCCAGAAAAGTACGGTAATTTTTGCTTATTGCTTTGTTGCCGTTAAGGCTTTTACACTAATATCTAATGCAAAAATCTCGTATGCCTTAAATATTAGGACACTATGAAAATGGTTTTAAAGAGCGATAGATGAAGAGAAGCTTTAATAGGCTTAAACATAGATTTACAATGTCTTTCGGAATAAGAGATGAGAAGTGTAGTAGAAAGATGGAAGATATGAAATGGATGATCATTATGCTAATCACCATGACATTTTATCGTTTTTGTTGAAGTTTTTTTCAATCGCTCTTTTCTGCATTAAATAGGCTTAGATAATGTTTTGTGATTTAGGATTTTAGGAATGGCAAAGATTATTTGTATAATAATATTAACAAAAATTTGAAATATTTTTTCTCTTTTTCTTTTTTTGAAAAAAATTTTAATTTTTTAAAAAGTTTTTCAAATGACGGAAAAACAAACAATGTTAATTAGTAGAAAACAAAAGACATTTAATTGCAAATTTTATTTTGAGGAAAAGAAGGAAAGATATGTCAATAACAACGACCGATTTTGAATTTATTAGTTTGTTTAGATGAAATGATAATTTGAAAGTTTCTAACGAAATAATAAAGGTAATTTGCAATAATCTCAAATTGATAATTATGAATTTTCAAATAGAAGAAATGAATGAAATTACCATTTAATTTTAGTTATAATATTTTATATAATATTTATTAATCGTTTTGAAAATATACTAACAAAATTATCATTTATCTGTCAGTTTTATCTTTATAATTTCCAGAACTTCATAAGAATTTGAATGAAATGATAAGTTTGGATTAATTAAAATAATTAATCAAATTTTAATAAACAATATATAAACATTAATATAGTTGATATGCAAGATGAAATGAATCGTATTCAAAATTCTGATATCTGTTGTAAGATACTCTATTAATTAATAAATTAATATCAGAATTAATTATTACCGGTAATCTCAATTACGAATAAATTATTAAATGCTAAATCTTTTACACAATAAAGGAAGAGTTTTTAAAGTATTACATTAACATTTTGATTTAAATCAATTTTTAAATCTGATCGATTTTTTTAGTAGCAGAAAAATAGCTACATTAAAAAAAGAAAAATCGAAAATACTGTATTAGCTACAGTAAGATTAAACAGTGTGAATAATTTATAGTACTAACTACAGTAAGATTAAACTTATAAAAATAAATTAAGAAATGATACTTTATGCTTCTTTTTTTTTTCATTGATAAAAATTTAGTCTTAGCTTATTTAACATTTCACAGAATAAAATTTAGTGATAATTTTAGCAAAAAAGCAACTCTATAACATTATTTAATTAATATTTAGAAACTAATTAACAGAAATAAATTAAATTTAATTACAAAAATTTAAAAATAAAAGAAATCAATGAATGAATGAAAAGTATGCCATGTTGTATAATCAACAAAGATGATTACTGTAAGTTGTTCTACGTATGTGTGTGTGTGTATGTGTGCGTATATGTATGTATGTGTATGTGTGTATGTATGTATGTGTGTATGTGAATTGAATTTTTTTAATTTTAAAAATAAATTTTTTTCATTCTCTTCGTTTACTTGATTTTCTATAAAAATTCACATAAAAATTTATCGGTTGTTTCACTGTCAGGAAAAGAACGAAAAAATACTATTTTATATCGATGAAATAGTATTGAAAAATTGGAGAGTTAAAAAGGCAAAAGAAATAAACGATTTAGTTTATTAAAATGTGAATTGGTAATGTGTAATGGAAAGATGGCGAGCAACGATGATACATTAGGGAATTGATAATGGTTGTGAAGATTGTTAAATGATGGTGGCGGTGATTGTAGTTTTGATATTGTGTAGTGAAATGTCATCCCACTTTTCTTATTACTTGAAAAGTTTCTGTCATTTGTTTTAATTTTAATTTTCCTCAATTAATAAATTTGATTAAAATTAAATTGTTTAAATTTAATTAGTTGAATGATAGTAAAAGAAAATTTAAAAAAATAAATTATTGAGAATAAAACAAAGAAATAAAGAAATATTTGATGAAAAAATTAGAGGAATACTTACAGTACGGTATAGTATAATATAACCATTGATAATAATGGATATGATTTTTTTGGATTTGAAAGAAATTTTTATTAATTATAATTAAATTATTTCTACAAATATTTTATTAAATTTTAAATACATCAATTACGGTAAATGATTTAAAAATATTTATTCAATTTGGAAAAGTAATAGATTTGATCACTCAGAAATAATTGTAATTAATAATAATAATAATAACAATAATAATAATTAATTGTAGCAATAAAAAATGTTGCATATAAATTTTTCAAATTAAAAAATTGGAAAAACAATTAAACACATAAAATTAAACGACAAAAATTAAAAGAATAATAAAAATCTCGAAATTTCTATCCATTTTAGTCCAATCTTTCAAAAACTATAAAAATTATTCAAAAATTTTGAAATGTCTATAATACAATGATCTAATTCTCTATCAACGATTAATTTTCAATTTAAATTTACTTAGAAGAAATGTTGAATTTAATGGCATAAATAGCATAAATAGCATAAATAGCATAAATAGCACAAAAATAGTATAAAATTTCATTTCACTCTTCTAATGTCTTGCACTTAATAAATTACAATTTATTAAAATTAAATATTATAATCACTATTAAATCATATTTAATTTAAATCTT